ACAACACTGATAACCAATAGATTTTCAACTAAAAAATACATCAGGAACACCAGACAGATTGTCAGAGGCACAATGCCAAGAAGGAGCATGTCATTTCCTTAACTCTCACTGGAATCTTCCTTGGTGGTTTTTCATATTCAGTGGTGGTTTCCATTAAGAACTCGCTTACATACATGGCAGTGTAGCTTCACTTTGTTTTTCCCCGGGTGTCAACTTTGTTCAAGCAGTTTTTTCGAGCTATACAGAAAACAGTCCTTCCCTGAAGAATTGTTACACCCAGGGTGAGCTTTAATTAAGAGCACTAGTCATTTGAAGCAAATGTCTCAATAATCATTCACTTCCTAAGTGCTTGAGGAATTTCAGGATTAGAGGAAATTCAGGTTTCCAGCAGCACCGTGCTCGAAGAGTCCACTCAGAAGTGTCTCTGTGAGAAACAGAACCTCCCCCTGGCCAGAACTACTTCCTGAGTGTACTGAACAGACTGCATAATAGTCCTAAACACAATCAAACAGAAGAATATAAAACATACTTTTGTATGTCTCATAGGATAGAAAACCTAACCAAACTTAGGTTAATGTACAGGAATCCTTGGGATACTTGTGGACATGAAGGATTGCTTCCCTGTCACTATGAGAGTTTGAATTGAGTACCAGAATTCTCATCAGAGCCCATATGAAAATAAAAGGATTAACTAGGTTAAGTTCATAGTACTGAAATTCTTTCTGATGAATATAGCTTCTACTCCATCTATTAAAAACACATAGAAATTCATGCCATACATAGTGGTTCATGCCTTAAATTCCAGGACTCAGGATATAGAGAACTGTAGATCTTTGAGAGTTCAAAGTCAGCCTAGTCTACATGGTAAAATTTAGAATAGTTTGGCCATAGGGTGAGAGCCTGTCTCAATAGTCAAAACAAAAACAATAAAAGGAAGTTATTTAAAAATGTGGGGCAGGCATGGTGATGCACACTTGAAATCCCAACACAAGGGATGCAGATGCATTTGGATGTTTGTAGGCCAGCACAGTCTACACAATGAATTCGAGGACACCCAGGAAAGAATACGGAGATCCTGTCTTAAACATCATCAAGAGCAAGAATCTGACCAGAAAGTTCATAAAACATAAACCTACACATTAGAATAGTTTGTGTCAAGAAGGATATAATTTCCAGGGCATTTAAAAACTGTCTTCACTTTCATTTTACATGTGTGGGTGATTTGCCTTAATGTTTTTCTCTGCTGCACATGTTTGCCCTGCCCAAAGAGGTCACAAGAGGGCATAATATCTTCTGTGACTGGAGTCACAGAGGGCTATGAGCCACCTTTTGGGTGAGTGGACTGCAGCCTGGGTACTCTGCAAGAGCAATCATACAGGAAAATTTTATTAAATTATCTGAGGAATGTGTCCAGTGACACATCTTTTGTACTTTGAATTATGCATTGCAGAATATTCTGAGGTCAGTATTCGTTGCTCTGTGCAGTCAGCAGAGGGTGCAGCATTCATTATCCACCTGATAAATCAACATGCACACTTTGCACTTGTACTCCAAGTATTTCTGAATCCTACCAATGTGGAAAGATGCTGATGTATGTGTAACATCATTTTTACAAGGCTGATATTTTTATTTGAAATATTGTGATGATTTAGTTTTATATGTATAGTTATATTTTAAATTCTTCTCTGAGATAATTGTATTCCTGGAACTATGTCTTAAGTTCAGCCCAAGTTGAGGGCTGCAAGCATCAAGCAGGAAGCATTTGCGGACTTAATGGTAAATATGCAGAGATCTCTTAAGGACCCCTTTTGACTGATAGAGGAGTGGGCAGGTAATTCTGTTAGGATGTCTGTATGTGAGATCTCTGAAACCTTTTTAGAAAATAGAGGTGCAGGTAACATAAAGACCTGTTGTTTTTAGGGCGCATCCTTCAATACTTTTAAAGTAAGGTGGATGGATGATGAATGCTGTATTAGTCAATTCCTGATGATTTAGACAAACTCTCAATGATGTTACTATACAAAGAAAAATTTAAGTATTAGAAGACATAAGTTGCATTTACTAAGGAGTACAGACTTAGAAGAAGACTCTGTTGGAACCAGAGATAACAGAAGTTATTATGTTTTCTTTGGTAAGCAAATGTCCGAGAAGAAATAATACATGTAGTTACCTCACAATATTAAGGGGTTTATGCGATAGTGGAAAGGAACAGAACCCAACTCCTTCCATCCCAATTTGGGTGTCCTGGAATGATATCAGAGAAGATAACATGCTTCTTCTGGGGACCACATTCTGGCCCTGCAAGGTGCTAGAGTGAACCATGATTAACCTCAGCATTTCCAATCATGTGAGTGTCTGTGAACTCTGCCAATTTTCTCTTGACTTCTGAGGTCAAACTTGAGAGTTATGCAGCCAAGCTGTATGATGTGTAGCTGTGAATAGGCTTGAGGAGGCTGTGCCCTAGGTTCCTGAAAGATGACAAGGGAAGGAGAAAAACTACCTAAGAGCGAAACTCCCTTTCCTGTAGAGTGATGGCTTAGGGTTGTCATCCTGAGACTGAGAATCTCAAGACTGCATTTTGAGAATCAGGTAGGCAAAGTCTTACCTCTAAGTTCATTTCATGAACACCTTCCAGATTCCAAGGGTGGGCTGAGAGAAAGCTTTGTGGATAGCAGGTGCTGTCCCCTGTCAACTGAATCTCAGGACGTTAGGAAGACAGTGAAGTCTCTTTGTATTCAAGATTGGTGAGATGAAAGGCAGGCACATAAAGAATGGCTTTGTGCATTCTTGTCTAGGATGGATAAGTATATCTCCTGGGCTGGAGAAGTGTGTTCATGGAAGTGTGATATCTCACAATTAATTATTGCAAAGGCCAAGCTGTCTGAAGTACCAAGGATGCAACTGGGTCCAGGCCTCTTTCTAGGTTTCTGGAATTTGCTGGTGATCCTTTATACCATGCTTTCTAGAAACTAACATTCTGGATAGATTTGCAGATCATATTCTCCCCCCCCCCCCGTATCTCACTTCTTCTTTACCACAGCAGCACTCTGTATGTTCATAAAACATTTTCATTCCAGTTTTGCAAATGCTTTAGATTCCAATAGGTTCTCAACGTATTAGTCTCTACAAGACCCTATTTAGAACAAAAGGTTGATAATCACATTTACAGGATTAGGACTTCAACATCTTAAATGGCACAGATCACCTAACAGACCTGCTCAGCCCTAGGTTACAAGGAACATGCTTTCGTTGAGAAAGTCCAGAGATCTGGAAAAAAGAATTCCAGGCTGACCATGGACTGCATCCACTTTACAGGGACTGTCAGAAGTAGAATGTTGTTGTTAGGCTATAACAAAGCTCTTTGCTTCAATAACACCAGCTCTCCAATTCCTGCCCTTCTCATGATCTCCTAATAGGCTATGTACCAAAAGCTAGCAGGGCCAGCCATTCACAAGCACATAGATCATAACTGGTGACTGCAGACCATGGGATTTGGCTGCTGTTAGCTTATTGAAGCACCATACTGTGCCCTACATCATGTTCTATGCCATGGTTATGTGCCTTTTCTATCTGTATGTGTGTGAATGTGCATGTGTGTTTCCAACTTATGATGCCTCTACTTAGCCCAGACTGATCTCTGACTTGCCACTGCTCTTTCTTCCATTTATTGATTCAAGGTTTGGACCATTATATTCTTTTCATGAGTGTTTTTTTTCTATATATCTGAGAACTCATCTGGGCTCATGTGGCTCCAGCTAGAACTGTCAAGAGTAAATCACATCTTCACTCACAACCTCATAGATTCAGTGAGCTCTGCTGATTCACTAGGGGAAATTTTTGTCACTACCTGTATGACTTCTCTTTGTTTGGAACCCACCAATTTCTAAAAGTCTGAGGATCTTCCACAGATGCTGTTCATTTCAGAGGACTCATCCCTCCCAATCCCCATCATCCTGACCTAATTTCTCAGGATCATTTATTTCTCATCTTACTCAGTATGAGCCTTAAGAAAGGGAAGAGCCATTCCTGCACAGTGCTTTGAAAGTGAGCCTTCAACTCCACACAGAAAATGTTTCTAATGAAGCGGCGAGCTAGATCTATGGCTTTTAAAGGAGAATGTGCCAAAGAGAGCCTTTCTGACGTCAGAGAGGCTCCTGATATGGCACCTTGGTTTCAGGTCATATTTGGAGTGAGGAAATTAGCCAGAGAGGAAAGGGCTGTACTGTGGGAAGCAGCAGACCCCTCCCTGGGCATTCTATTGTATCCTGGAGAGCCCTGACATTCTATGTGATGTCAGAAGTGTTGTGGCAACACCATCTGCCGCTGGGGCATCTGTTCATTGCCTACAGGTTTTGGTCATAGCCATGTTGGCAAGACTGAGCAGGCTTCTTGAGAGACAGAAAGGAGAGCATCACGAGACTAGAGGGAGGCAGAAGGAAGCTGGCCTTCAACCTCAGTGTTACACATCAAGACATAAATGGTTCTGGGCAAAACGCAGTGAGTCCTGAATAGGGAGTGGGGAACTACTTGATGACGGAAGGCTTCAACTTAGTTTTACATGGTGGGACACTGGATCTTGGAGCTTTGGGGAGGTAATGGATTTATCCTGCTTCTCTTCATTTCTGAAGAGTAGACCTGGAGTCTAGGATTTCTGAAGGTTAGTTTGGCAGAGAGCCAGTAATGGTCAACCCTGCAGATGCTGTGCTAGAGGCACTCTGCATTGACTCTGAGTGGGAAAAAAGGAGAGAGGGATGAATGAAGTTTCAGTTTCAGCACTATACTTCAGCACACTGGAATTCTTTTGGTGTGGGTCACGAATAACGGAGAGTACAGTCCCCTGGCTAAAGCTGGAGGATCTCACATTATACCTCAGAGTCACTTGCAGGGCAGGAGTCATCAAGTATTGCTAAGGCTTCTGAGTCCTGCTTTTAAATAGCCCATCATCTTTAACTTGAGTGTAGGAATGAGCCATCACTCTTCCTGAAAGTTTGTTCTTAGAGTGTGAGGGCTCACCTGTAGATGCCCTGTTCTTAGGTGTCTCCAGCCTGTCCTGTCACTGGGTGATCTCACCTTTGCTAACGTCATGAGTGATGGAATGTATTCTGCTGAAGTTTGGGGGAAATTTTCATCATGACCAATGTGACTTATCTTTGGTCTGACAGGACACCCACAATCCCTATCACCCCCACACATTGTAAGAGCCCTGTGGATCTTTTCTGAGGAGCTCATTCACTTCATGGAACTGAACTTCCTTCCAAATCAACATGAGCTAATTTCTCAGTATCTTCCACTTCTCATCTTATTAATTAGATATCTTCGGAGGGGAAGAGCCATTATCCTCTTGGCTAAGGGAAGCAGACAAAATTGCCGGGGAGAAAATTGGGATCTTGGGGTGGGGTGGGTTGGGGGTAAGGGGAGATGGGGAGAGAAAAGTTAGAAGGGAAGGAGGTTGGGCCTTGGGAAAGCAGGAGGATTGGGATAAAGGAAGGTTGGATAGGGGAGCACGGAACCACAATTCTTAGTTAAGGGAACCACTTTAGGGTTGGCAAGAGACCTGACCCTAGAGGGGCTCCCAGGTGCCCAAGCTGAGGTCCCCAGTTAGTTCCTTGGGCAGTTGAGAATAGGGAACCTGAAATGACCCTATCCTTGAGCAATACTGACGAATATCTTGCATATCATCATAGAACCTTCATCTGGTGATGGATGGAGATAGAGACAGAGACCCACACTGGAGCACTGGACTGAGCTCCCAAAGTCCCAATGAGGAGCAGAAGGAGGGAGAACATGAGCAAAGAAGTCGGGACCACGAGGGATGCACCCACCCACTGAGACAGTGGAGCTGATCTATTGAGAGCTCACCAAGACCATCTGGACTGTGACTGAAAAAGCATGGGATAAAACTGGACTCTCTGAACATGGCGAACTATGAGGGCTGATGAGACGCAAAGGACAATGGCACGGGGGTTTGATCCTACGTAATGTGATGGCTTTGTGGGAGCCCAGCCAGTTTGGATGTTCACCTTCCTAGATATGGACGGAGGTGGGATGTCCTAGGTCTTACCACAGGGCAGAAAACCCTGACTGCTCTTTGGACTGGAGAGGGAGGGGGAAAGGAGTGGGGGGAGGGGGAGAAGGGTGGGAGGAGGGAGCGTAGGGGGGGAGGAGGGGGAGGGAAATGGGAGGCTGGGAGGAGGTGGGAACTTGTTTTTTTTTCTCCTTTTCTCAATAAAAAAAAGAATATTTGGAAAATGAGTCTTGACCTCCATACATGATGAAGTATTAAATTAAAATTAATGAGAGTTTAACTAATCAAAGAAATCTCTGGATTGGAAGAAAGAGGTGCTGAAGGGCTTCCCCTGTGTCTCAGGGAAGGCACCTGGAAAAGACAGCTTGGCTTTTGGTAATTGGGGAAGAGACAGTTATGAGATATGTGATGGCAGTTGGCAGTGACCCTAACAGTTTATTCTCTGCACATTCTATTGCATCCTGGAGAGTCGTTGACCTCTTTTGTGTAATTATCAGTGTTCTGTCTTTGGGGAACTCATTAAGTACTTATAGGGTTCACCAGAAGACACGTTGGTAAGATTGAGCACACCGGTTGGCAGAGAGATCTGACTTTTGAAGAGGGGGTTGGGACTTGAACTGGACTTCCAGAAAATAAGTTCAGTAGCTGGGATCTTTGGGAGAGATGGTTCTCTGCTGTTTCTGGGTTAATAAAGTGCAAACCCATGGTCAAGGATTGGTGATGGTTAGTTTGGCAGAAAGCCAGGAGTTGACAAGGATACAGTTGCTGTTCTCAGAGTTCCTTAATTTTATTTGGAGTGGCAAAGAAGGCCAGCAGGAGGCAGAGACAATTAAGGTGTGAGAGAAGGGTATTGCTACAACTCATCATCAGTGGATTCTTTAGGTTCTGTGAGTATCTCATGTGAAAATTCCCATCTATTCCCATCTATGCACCAGGGTCTCAGACATTTAGTTACTTTCATTCCTGGCCATGGGTGAAACAGATTCGTCATGCAAAGCACTGGAGACTCCAGGAATTTTCTGCATCACATCAGATATGAGTTGATACTTCCAAAGCAGCATGGCTGGGTGACATATGCCTTTCAGGGCCAGTGGGGCTACAGAGGGCTGATGCACATAGCTCAGCACAGTGAATGCAGACAGAGGCATGGCTTATGGGCTCCCAGCTTAAGAATAGGTGTCCTGCTCTTTGGGGTCTTCACTGAGTTTCGTGCAGTCACTCTTCCTCAGGCCTCTTCATGAACTCAACATAATCTCTCCTGGACCTGTGCCATACTACTGCATAAATTTACTTATGTTTATCTACCTGCAGGGAGTACCGGAAAGACAGCAACCCCAACCTCTGTCACTGAGACGGAGCAGCAGATGAACAAGGTGGATACACTGACCCTGCAGCTTCAAATGATGACCCAAGAAAGGAATGAACTTCGTGGAATCCTTGCTAATTCTACCAACAAGGATTTGAACAACAGGTAGTCCTTTTGTTCAGTTCCTTGGTAACTGTCTTGACCCTACTGAGTCAAACCCAGCATTCCTTAGGTCACTGGAGACTGCACTTCCTTCTGCCCAAACTAAATATCCTGAGGGCATCTGAGAGGCAAAGCTGAACCCTGGGAAGGAGTGATATCAGGACACAGGCTGTGTGATTCCTCCAAATAAAAAGCAGAGCCTGTGGCCTGGATCAGTCTGGGGATGGGGCAATAGTTTGTGAGCTCTCAGCATACATTTCATGAGGCCTTGACAGGTGTTGGCTTGTGGACGATCCTAAGTGCTGTGAATTATGGTGAGTCTTTGTGCTTAACCCAAAGGTGCTTGAGTATTGGCTGCTCCTTGGGAGCAACTGCAGGAGCCTGGTCATCTTGGTCCATCTCAGTGTGTGACTTGAATTCTGAACATCATCCCTGCTTCTCTCTAGTCTGGTTTCTTATATTCTGAGACAATTCCACCTCCCTATATTTATTTGGTATTCATCGTCTGTGTCTCTGTGTTAGTGTGTGTATGTGTCTGTGTGTCTTTGTGTTAGTATGTGTGTGTTAGTGTGTGTGAGTGTATGTGCGTGTGTCTGCATGTGTGAGTGTGTGTCTGTGTGAGTGCATTGTGTGTGTGTATGTGTGTATGTGTGTCTGTGTATATGCCTGGCAGCTGGAAGTGTGTGGGAGGGCTTGTTGTTCTTTCTGTGTCACAGTTTCCAGGTGATGCCAGCACTAAGGTCAGGGAACTCCACTCCGACCAGCAGTGCCCCTGGCCCATGTGCTCACCTTGGCAGCCCGTTGGAACCCACTGGAGACTTATAAATCTATCCTTAAGTCTCTTTCCAGGAAATACTGATTCTGTGCTTCAGACACCCATGTAGCAATCGGATCCTGGGATCAAAAGTCCCAATTCTGAAGACAGGAAATGCATTTTCATAGATTCCTGGTGGAACCAGACTATTGACACAGGCTCCTTAAGACATAACTATTCTATTCCTCCAGGCCCATTGAAGGAACTCATGCAGCCCTGGCTCACTCTCCTTGCACCCCTGACTGCTGGTCTGGGGCCAGGTCAGCAAGTTTCAACAGCACCAGGTTGTCCTAGTTGATAGCTATCAGAATGTGACATTGACTGTGCTGGGGTAGTTTAGGGCACAGCCTGAATTCATAGGATCATTAAGTCCAGAATTCATGGGGTTCTTAGCTCCTGGGCCATACCCTATCACAGGCTGAATTTTAAGCTGGAGATGGTGAATATGGAGCATAAGACAGTGATGCTGGACCTGCAGAAATTCCCCAAGAAGAGTAGAGAGGCCTTGTATAAGTGCAAGGAGCTGCCTGAGGAAACTGTCTCCTACAGGGGAGTGTGTAACTTCATTGGGACGCCCCATTCATTAAGAGTAACTGTTTTTGCCATGTTTTTATCTTTGAACCAAAGTGAGGACCTTTGTTCTAGCCTGTCTTCTGCTCTTGGCTTGGGCCTGTTAGATCAGTTCTGCTCAGAGTGAAGTGTCTGTGAGCCCATATCAGCATTGTCCTTCCAGCCAAAGGACCCTCTAGATAGAAAATCTATCCACACCATGACGAGGGTGTCAACCATATGTGGGTAGTGGGAGCTCTGGGAGGGGTTTAGAGAGGTGATCCCATGGGACCCATAGATGGAATATACTTCCCTTGGGTCTTTTGTCCTTCCTTAGAGAATATTTGCCTTCTACCTCTCAACCTCATAATGTTTTCCCAATCATGAACAGTTAAGTACATGTGGTAGGAGGCAAACCCTGCTCTCAGAAGTACATGGATCTCTTTTATTGTCAGGGATTTCAGAAGTAGTCTGAGTCTTTCTGGAATTTGGCTCTTCTCTGGCTTTTGCCAGCTACTAAATTATGCTGGCATGGTTACTGTGGGATCTAGTCTGGGGCTGCCTGGAACAAGGACCTTGCATGGATGATGTGGGAGTGGTAGCTGTAGGCTGAATGGGACTCACGATGTATTTTGTGATGGTTCAGCATCCTCCACAACCAGCTCCTGAGTGAGCAAACTCAGTTGAAGGAAAAAGTGAGCATGTTGAGAGAGGAGAACCGAAAGCTATGGAGGGAGCAGATTTCACTGCAAGAGTCCTGTGAGAAGGTGAAGAATCTCTGTGAAGAGGCCCATGAGAAGACCTATGAACTATGTGCCAAGGAGAAGCAGGTAGGCTGAAGCAGTATGGGCAAGCTGTCCACATCTGTAATAATACACACACACACACACACACACACACACACACACACACACACGATCATCTACCCACTTATTCAGCAGCTCACTAACATCCTATCCAATTGTGATTTCTGTGAACATTCACAAGTCTTTCTGGAGATTTAGGATCTTGTTATATCAATGGTTAGGTACAGCTTTGAAAGAGGACATCCCTGTGAAAATGCCAAAAGAGTGGTTCTCTTTTTCATCCTTTTTATTTTTTCTCATATATTACATCTCAACATCAGTTCCCCTTCCTTCCCTCCTCCAAGG